ACAGAGACAGAGAGACCCCACAATCATGCCCGCCAATCTATCCTCGCCGTGTACGGAGGCCCCAAAACGAGGCATTCCTGCCCCACCCCCCTCCTCCTCTTCCGTCCTGTAATGCACTGCCGTGTACTCCGCCTCGAGCCTCCAGTGTGCCTCCAGTATGGCGCAGCCGCGGCGCAGCGGGACTTGCTGGAGCGCGTTGCGGTCTGCTGGAGTAGGCAAGCGCAGCGCTGCAGTGGCGTGGCGTGGCACGGCGTGGCACGGCGCGCTGCGGCGCAGTGACCCCCTAAACTCGGTACCCAGGCGCCGCGGCGCTATGCGGGGCACGCCACGGCACGGCACGCCACGCCACGCCACGCACGACGCATGCACCGCAACGGGGCCCACAATGGACGCAGCAGCAGGCTCGGCGTGGCACGGCGTGGCACGGAGCGCTTGCAGCGGGAGCCTCTGGGAAACCACTCCGGGCTAACCGTACAATGATACCGACGCTACGATTGCACTGAGAAAAAAAAAACAACAACCAAGCAGCACTTCAAAGGAAAACAACAAAAAAAATGTCGATTCAAAAATTCAAATTCGATTTTTAGGACTAAAAATAAATTTGCCTTTTTTTTGTTTTTGATTGCCTGGGTTTTGGTTTTGTTTATATTTTTCCACACTACCTTTAAAGTTTTTTCCACACATGAAAAAAACACGCGAGAGGAAAACTCCAGAGCAAAACACAGGGCACACACACACACACGACAGCTGCTTGCCGTCGCACTTTGGCGCAGTCTCCAAGACTGCAGGGCAGGGCGTGGCGTGGCGTTCAGGGGTTGGGGTGCGGCGGGGCGGGGCGGGGCGGGGCGGGCTAGTCCGGCGACTCCTTTGAGGAGCGCACCGCACCCCCGCCGCGGCCTCTCCCTCTCTCCCCCATCCTCCCTTTTACTTTTGCTTGCACTGCCAGTGCTGGCAGGTGCGCGGCCAACCCCACCCACCCACACGCACACAGACACACACGCGCGCACACACACACACGAGCCCGGTCGCGAGGGGAGAGACGGAGGACGGGGGAAGGGGAAGGCGTCAGTGAGGCCAGCAGGGATTACGGGCCCCGCGAGTCCCCTGCAGAGGTGGCGCCGAAGCCCTAGGACACCCACACACACACACACAGACACGCACGCACCCACTCTAAAACTGCGTTAGAAACACACGAAGGGTTGCGCGAGGCTTTCCGTCGCACGCCGTCCGTTCGTCCGTCCCATCCGTGCGTCCTTCCGGAAGGACGAGGGGAGGGGGAGGGGGGAGTGGGGGGCTGGCCCGCCGTGCCCGTCGCTGCAGCAACTCTTTTCTTCACTCAAAAGCGGAGAAGGTGACCTCTGCTCAGAGGGGGCAGGGCGGCGGCGGCGGGACGCGCTGCGGCCCGGACGACGACGAGGACGACGACGAGGAGGAGGAGGGGTGCAGCGAGCGCGTTCGCTGCTCACTTGGGCTCCCCGCAAAAAGGACCACTTCCTCTTTTACTCGGGCGGCAACAATATTTGCGGGCCCTCCGACGACGACAGGCACTTCTCAGAGCTGTCGGCCACAAGCCAGCCGTTGGAGCGGGGCTCGGAGCGGGGCGAGCGCCCGTTTCTCTCTCTCTCTCTCTCTCTCTCTCCTCTCTCTCTCTCTCTCCTCTCTCTCTCTCTCTCTCTCTCTCTCTCTCTCTCTCTCCCCACGATGCGATTCGCGCGATTCGCGATCCAACACCGTGCCGTTCTTCCTTCCGCCGAGAGCGACAAAGCGACCCCCCCCCCCCGCCGGTCGTCGCGGAGGTCGTCTCCTCGGCGACCTACCGGCCTACCGGGAAAGGACGGACGACGGGGCGGCTCATTTGCATGCCAAAGTGCACGCACGCAGCGGCTCGCGGCCCAGCGCATCCTCGGACCGTCAGTCCGTCCCGGTCCGTCCCGGGCCGGCACGCTCATTCCGAGAGTCGTCGTCGTCGTCGCTCTGTCCTTCTCGTGCCGGCGGACGCACGTCGAGTGCAAAGAGAGGCGGAGCGGCGACACTCGGAATCGGCCTGCAGTTCCGAGAAAGCAAACGCCGCAGTGTGTGAAACGCCTCCATTCATCGGCGCGCACATGGCGATGCGGGGCGATGCGGGGCGATGCACACGACTGCAGTCTTTTGTCTCCGGCGAGTCAATGAACCGACCCGGCACCAGCAGCAACAACAGCAGCGACGGCAGACAGAAAAACAAGAGCAAGGCCTCCGGCGCACAGTGGACCAGAAGACCGGTGGAGGCGGTCAAAATCCCGGACGCGTTTTGAGCTCCAGAGTCGCTAAGTGGGACTCGAACCGAGCGTGTGACCCCACCAATGGATTGCTCTCCGAACGAGGAATCCATTGGTGGGGTCACACGCTCGGTTCGAGTTCTGCTTAGCGACTCTGGAGCTCAAAACGCGTCTGGAGTTTCGGCCGCCGGCGCCCACACTGGGCAGCGCACGGCGTAGCGCGCGGCGCGCGGACTCCGGGCGGGGTCCGGTTTCCGGGTGCATCCCGCGCACGCCACCGATACCTCGTTTCCGGAGGGCGGACGGCGGACACGCCAGTTTGGCAGCCGCGGCGGCGGCAGCAGCGCGCCCGGAGCAACCAAATTTCAAACGCAAAAAAAAAACTTTTTCTTTTTTGGTAATTGCTCCTCTTGCACGCAGCCCCACGCTTGCACTGACCCTGATACTACAGTCGGCATGATAATGCCGCATGCGCCACCGCGGAGATAGCTACCGCCGAGCCAAGCCGGTCCGCCACACGGCCAAGGCAGCCCCGCGGAACAGGAGCATGCCCCGCCCTGGCCCCGCCGCCCTACACGAGTACAGACTGCAGATAACTCGGCGACTCGTCAATTCGGCCCACTGCCGCCGCGGCGGGCCGAGGCAGTACAGACAGACCGATTCCGAGAGCCGTCCTCGTCGCTCTGTCTCTCTCGCACCCGCACGGGGCGCCCCGGTGAGTGCGACAGAGACGGAAAAGCGGCTCTCGGAATCGGTCTGCAGGCCGGCAGAGAGTGACAGCGGCGAAACGCGGCGAAACGCGAGCCTGCCATCCTGTACACTGATAGCGAAGCATAGCGCCCACACGCATGCACCCAGCGCGCAGCGCAACCGCCAGCGCCACTCGCAGTGGAGTGGAGGACCTGCACAGCGCGGCTGTAGGCCAGCGCGGCATGCACCGCAGAGATAAGGACGCGTCACGTGACACGCCGGTGACGTCATAGTGACACGCCAGTGACACGCCAGTGACACTGCAAGTGCAGGGCCGGGCGGGGGGGGGGGGGGGGGCAGCGCGCGCCAGCCAGGCCAGCCAGCAGGCCGACCGAAACCGAAAGGGAAAGCCCTGCAATATTCATGCATGCCGCCAAGGGGGTTGGTCGGCCGCCTGGCTGGCTGCCCTGGCTGCCCTGGCTGCCCGCCTGGCCGCTCGGCCCGGGGCCCGGGGGCTCGCGGCGACGGAGGAGGAAATTCAGGCTGCAGTTCGATCCGATAGGCCTCGTCGTCTTTATGACTCCGCGTCCTCCACCACCCCCTCGACCCCCTCGACCGCTTCCACCAAACACTCACACACACACACACGCACACAGATACTTCGATTCGCGGGCACACTGCTATCCACGATTCCCATGGAGGAGCGCCGCGGCGGCGCCCCTTTTTGAGCCCATTTTTTTGATGGTCATTTTCTTGTTGATGGCTTTTTTACCGCCGCCGACGTTACACACACACACACTCACACTCACGGCCCAGCCGAAAAAAATAACAAAAAATAAAATAAAAATGGAGGGGCAGCACTGCTGCACAGACATCGTTGTTCGACGGGTTCGACCCCCGCGGGCCCCGGCCTTGACAATATCATTTGCCTGTGGCAACGTGGGGGTCACCAAGCCCTGATAACTAAAACTAATAAAAAAAGGCCAAGTCGGCCGAAACTCGCGCGACCGTCCGTGTGGGCGGCTAACGCCAGCCGGCCGTCGCCAAACTTTTTTTTTTTCGGGTGTACCAGCGGAGCGGGCCGCTAGGATAAATAGTTCCCTACTATCGGGCGGGGGGGGTAAAAGTTTTGGCACGATGTGGAAAACGCGATACTATGCAAATGAATCCGGATTAATGGCTGTTTGAGCGTTCGAGCCCCGCAACGCGTCTTCTTTCGCCGAGTGCGATGGGCCTGCCGCTTCCAGATCGACGAGTCCACGATCGATTCCACGGGGAAACGCCGCGGCCTTGAGGGGCACACACACTCACACACACACACTCGCAAGGGGAGCGGGCAAGGAGGGCTGTTGCAACGCCGACCACACTGGTGTATACGTAGAGCACACCCTTGCCGGCTCCCCCCTGCAGGACGAGGAAGTGTGGTGTCTCAAGGTCGAATTTTGGCGCGTACACGTACACACACACAGACTCGCACACAGACGCACGCGTCGCGCGCGCGGGGGCCTCAAATGCAACAGGCCACGACACGTGGACTGCTTCTACACTACGACGCGAGCACGTCATAGTGCATCCATTCATTCACATCCATCCAGCGAGCCGAGCCGATGATGCAACAGAGTACACACGCCGCGCCAAAGTGTGAAAAAAAAAAATTCGAAAAAAAAAAATTTATGCACACAGAAAACAACTAAAAATAGCGAGTGCATGAGGACCCGCGGGTCGCGGTGACGCAACGCGGACGATGCACGTGGAGCTCCGCGAATGCTGCGGCGCCGCGGCCAGTGCAGTGCCAAATTGCACCTGTTGTGCTCATCGCTCAAGTGCAGCCGCTCCGCTCCGCGTCACGTCACGCCACGCCAGACCCGTGACGCGCACCATGTTTTTCTCTGCACTGGCCCGCGAGCTGCACCGCGCCGCACGTGGCGAGGGTTAGTTATGCAAGGCGCTGCACCGCCCCCCGTCTCTCTCGCACCTCCAACGGGACGCCGCGCGGGGCCCACGAGTGCGAGAGAGACCGCGACATGCAAGTCGACAAAGACGAGGACTCACCTTCGCAGAAGAGTGTTACATCCGTCAGGCTCTCCGACTTGAATAAATTCCCAAAGGCTGTCGCCAAATTGCTGCCGAAACTGTTCCATTTTAGACAGAACTGCTGCTCCGAACCCATCGCCGAGCTCTAGGGCCTCGCCGCCTGCGGGAGAAAGGGAGAGACGGAAAGGGTTAGTAAGACTGACTGACAACTACACTGCAACAACGAGGGGCCTAACGCCAACCCCGGGGGTCTTTGGCGTGGGAAAATTAGATTCGATTTACTAGCGAGTCACATTTTTATTTTCAACTCATCACTTCAGAAAAGCATGTTGCGTAAATCGTGCAAAACTTGACGCGTTAAAAATTTAAGAGTTATTATAGGATTTTAAATTTAGTTATTTTACCAAATTTCTGCAAAATAATTTTTGTATGAAGTATAACACAATGTTATAAAAATTTGAGTACGCGATTTCGCACGGCTCTGTGCAATTCTGCAAACAGTACAAATCTGTACGAAAAAAATTTCCCACACGCAAAAATTGTGAGACCACATGCGAAGTCGCATGTGAATGCATTGACTGTGCACGAAAATAAAGTAAACGACAAGATTAGATCTAAACACACTGATCATTTGAACTTGGCAAAATGAAAAACGGTGTGCATCAAGTGACAGACACAGACAATCCGCGAATTAGAGAGTTAACTCGTTTATACGTCCGTGCGGTCCGTCGGCCGCTCAAGGAAACAACGATACGTAAAAATAAAAAAAATAGGAGGAAATGAAAAAGAGGACCAATGCACTCCAATAAAAACTCACCGGACTTCCAGAGAGTCAGCAACTACTGTGAGGGCCGCCAGGGCCTGCAAAACAGGAAAAAGAAACAAGACGGCGGTGAGTTTCAGGCAGCCAACAGACAGGATTCGGCGCAGGGACACTGCAGGACGCGTCGCTTCGCTTCAGTCTGCACTCCGCACGCGAGCACACAGCACATCTGCAGCCTTGCATCGACGGCATGGTTTGGCGCAGCCTGGCCCGCCTAGCCCAGCGAGGCGAGCGGCGCTAGCGGCGGCGCCTGCCTCCACTCAGTCAGTCCACTCCCACAGTCACACACCGCGCGAACCGTGCGCCATGGCGCCGCGCACTGTATACAGTACACTGCCAAATCCGCCGTTCGCCAATTCCAAAAACAAACACGCGCCCCGAGGTGTGCCCGACGGAGTCCTTTTCGTCGCGCTGTCTCTCTCTCTCGCCCTCGCGGGGCGTCCCGTGCGGGTGCGAGAGAGACAGAGCGACGAGTGCCGCGGGAGGTGCAGCGCCTCTCCTCAGTTTCAACAAATGGCTGCTACACTGTAGCGGCTCATTCGTAATCGCGAGCCGCGAGTACCGGCACGTTGCTGTACTCCTTTTCAGCTTTTTTTTTTTCGATCCGCCACCTGCTGCTTGCACTTTCCGCGTCGATAACAGTTGTCGAGCAGTGTACACACCGTGTAGTGCACGCGCGACCCGTTCCCCGTCCGTCATTTTTGCAGCTCGGTGTCATCCACCTTTGCGACGCCTCGCGCGAGGCTACGCGAGGCTACATCCGTCTCTCTCGCTCTCACGGTCAAGGTGGCGCGGCTAGCGCGGCCGCCGCGTCTCTCTCTCTCTCGCTCTCACGGCCAAGGTGGCCGCGTGCGAAGTGTGCCCGCACCGCGCCGCACCGCGCCCGCCCTGACAACCGTTCATTAGGACTCAAGGCGGAGACAGGAGACCGAGAGTCGTTTTCGTCGCTCTGTCTCCCTCGCACCCGCACGGGACGCCCCGTGAGAGCGAGAGAGACAGAGCGACGAAAACGACTCTCGGAGTCCGGCTGCGTCCGAAAACTCCTCGCGGTGTTCCCAATCCAAATTCGCCACCCACGCATTCCGATCAGATCGAACATGGCGACAGGCCGAAACATTCGCTCCCCGAGACTCATCCGGAAATCTCTCAGCGATGCACTCTGTAAAGGCGTCGAAAGCCCTCGCTCATTGACATTCGGACCAAATTGAACGCCGCTTCTTCTCGGAATGCGACCCTAAGGTGGACAAGGGATGACAGTGATAAGAACAAAGAGAGAAGAGAGGGGGGGGTGTCGAAAGCAACAAAAAAGTAAGTTATTCCTTTCTTTCGGGGGTCCACCACACGGTCCCGGCCGCGCGCACACATGCAAAAACACACACACACACACATACACGCACACACGGCGGATGAACCAATTCGCCACGGAGGCCTGCAGGCGCAGTGTGCATAATATTTGGGGGCCGCGCGCTGCGCTGTGCGAGGATAGCAACTCCCCGCCGCGCCGCGCCCCGCCACGCCCCGCCACGCCTGGAAAGCAAAGACAAAGGATAGGACCCCCCCGCGCCGCCATGTGCGGGCCAGTGCCAGCGCGGTGCCCGCACGCAAGGACCTCCACTGCAAGTGCTGCAGCCTGTCGCAAGTTCCGGCTTTCCTGGAAGTGTCCAGCAGAGCATTGGGGGGGGGGGGGGGGGAAGGGAGGCGACTGGCCGGTACTCGAACCCGGGACTCCAGGCCGCTGCATTCGGAGGGGCGCGAAAACAAAAGGGGGTCCGGCCGCAGCCGGTAGTCGAACCCGGGACCGCTGCAGCGGGGAGGAGGGAAAACAGAGGTATCGGCTCGGCCGGCGCCGGGACTCGAACCCCCGACAGGGGGCACAGGTTGGAGCGACGCCGCGGCCGGGATTCGAAGCCCGGACCGCGGGGCGCTGTCACGCCATTCCGTTTCGCAGGCTGACCGATTCCGAGAGTCGTCGCTCTGTCTCTCTCGCACTCATGGGGCGTTCCGTGTGGGTGCGAGAGAGACAGGGCGAAGGCTTCGCAGGCTTCGCAGGCTTCGCAGGCAAAGCGTTGGCAAATTGATGAGTGGCGTGGCGGCATGGCTCTTGGCGCGGCGGTGGCGGCGGGGCGATGGCCTTCCCTCTCCGTCTCCACGTGCACTCCCACTCGTGCGAGCGAGTCCGCGAGTGCCGCCGCGTCCACCACACCGTCCACGCCGTCCACGTGCACTCGCACGCCCGTCTCTCTCGCACTCCCCGCAGTGCCGCGCACACGCACTCGCGCCTCTCACTCGCACTCACGCACAGGGGGGCCGCGTCGGCCGCGACAAAAGAGATTCCATGCAAAAACCCGGCGCGCCCGCCTGCTGGCCCGCTGCGCGGCTGCGCCGAGGCGGAGAAGGACCGGGCGAGGAGAGAGGGAGAGAGGGAATGGAGAAGGAGTGGGAGCGGGACGGGCGAGACGCGCGGCGGCGAAGGAGTTGGAAGGAAGCACACAAAGAAAATGACCTTGGACTTGAAATCAGTGACCGGACTGCATGGCACGCCAGTTGGCACGGCGAATGGCACGCCCGGGACACGGGCGGGGGGCACGCCGACGACGCCGACGGGGCTGGGCACGCTGGACACGCGACGCACGCCTGCACGCCGCACGCCGCATTGCCATGCACGCGGCACGCCAATTTTTTGGCACGCCGCTCCCGACGCACGCGCGTGCACACGGCACGCCGGCCGCGCGCGGGCGTGCCCGAAACGCCAGCACGCCAGCGCACGCCTGCCGCGGCGGCGGGGCCGAACAGGTGGCCGCTACGCCTGCTACGCTACATTGCAATTCGAAGGTCCTCCGCGCCGGTTCGGTTCGGGGCACGCGGGGCGCGGGGCGTACGCCGTGCCCACTACCCGGTACCTTTGCTGGAAACGCAATTAAATGCCGGGGAGGTTCCGGGCGGGGCGGGGCGGCGGGGGGGCGGCGAGGGGGCGGCGAGGGGGTTGCGCAGCGGCAGGGCGCCCACAAAGGGAAGGCTCGGCGCGCGTCCCCCGCTGCCCCCGCTGCAGCCAGGGGGTTGCTGCAGGACTTGACGGCGTCCTCCAGCCACACACTCACTAACGCACTACAACGAGACGAAACGAACTTTACTTTTCATTTTAATCCTCCTCCATGGACGTGCCAGCGCTCCTGGCGCCGAGGGATGCAATCCTTGTTGTTGTCTGTCGCCGTGGTCTTGCTTTGCTTGTTCACACTTTGTCACTTTGTCACTGCGTTAGTCACTGGAAAACTTGAGAGACACTGCAGGACGCTGCAGGTTGGTGTTGCTGCTGCGCGATGCTCCCTCGGCCTTCGCGCGTCGCGTCGCGTTGCGTTGCGTCGCGGTGCGCGTTGCGCGTTCGGTGCCTTCCTTTCCTTTGCACGGCGCGCTGCGCTAGCGCTAGCACGGCTCCACTCGGCTCGGTTCGGCTCGGCCTCGGTGCCTCGGTTCGCTCGCTCGGCACTTCTGTGTGCGCGGCGCTCTGCGCTCTCTCGCGGCGCGCTCGGGCTCAACTCCGCGCCGCCACCGCCAGCACCGCCACCGCGACAAGTCCAAGCAGTACCCCCTCCCCCGCCAGGCTACGCCAGGCCGCCATCTCCTGCGGCTTCGGGCCTCGGATTCGCCGACAGGCCCCGGCCGGGCTCGCTCCCCGCTCGGCTCCGCTCGTCCCGGCTCGGCTCAGCGTGCAAAGCGAGTTCTGCAAGCGTGCAGGTGCCAGCAGCAAGCCCGCCTGGACGCCCGAACCCGAGCCGAGCGGAGCCTGGCCGAGCCGAACGCGCCCGAGGGCCCGACGGCGACGAGCCGAGCCGAACGCCAGCCGCCCAGCCGAGTCCCGCGGGCCGCGGCACCGCGCGGAGCCGAGCCGGACCTGCGCAAGCGAACCGCGAACCACGGGCAACCACAACCGCACCAAACCGGCCGGGTAGGGCCCCTGGGCCCCTGGGTACCGGCCGCATCAACACGTTAGAATCGGACCATTGTCCAGCAGCGACTGGGAAAAATGCCCAAATCCGCGAAAAGACAAAGAGGAAAAAGAAGCAAACGCGGAACAGCCCGTGCTAACCCGGACGTACCCGCACCCCGGTGACATGAAGGTTCGAAACTACACTGTTATCGCGTTTCACGCCAAATCCTGGACGCCAGATACGCCGGGCACCACAGCTGCGCCGCGGGGCTCAACATCGCGCCGCCGAGCCAAAGGGCCGGAGGCGCCAAAGGTGTCACATGACGGGAATGACAAGGGAGATAAACCGCAAGGGACAGGTGCATCATGCAACGGGCGTACCCACTACCCGTCGCCCGCGACCATTTTGTCGGCTTCACGCCGGCCGACTCGCTACACTGCCAATTTCGGGCGCTGGGCGCAACATCCCGACTTATTTACTTACTGCCAACGCTTGTCGACGCACTCACTGATGCATGTTCGCTCGCACGCCCACTGTTGTCTCCGGGTATTGTCGTATTTCGCTGGCAATGTAAATATTTAATCTGCTCCATCCACACGCAAAAAAATTTGTTGAGGTACTGCCGGAAACAGCAAAGTCTGCACCGAAGGCCACTGCCACTGCATTCAATTTGCAAATCGTTATCTGCGCATTGCAGACGACAACAGACCGTGGAGGAGTGTTGCCAATGGTTGCAATAAATCTGGCGGAAAATGGGGGATACACTAAAAAAAATATGCAACGCTGTTTTCAATTCATTTCGCAGGAAAATTCATTCATAAAATGTGTGAATTTCTGACACGAAAGATTCTCATACGCCAGGCCAGGCGCGACTGCAGCGCTCGTGGCGACTGCACTTATCAGCGTGCGTCGACTGTTTCTGTCCTTCTGGCTTTCAGCCGTCTGTCGTGAAGGCGATTCCAAACCGAATTTTCGTCTGGGCTTTAGTTTAATTTGCTTGATTCACCATGATATCGGCCGCGGCAAAATCGGGCAACCTTGCTCCCTACCTGAAGAACACCAGCCAGGCCGTTGTGTCAACCCTGAAAACGACGACAAAGCCCGTGACTGTGGCCACAGACAAAATTGTCGTGCCCACAGTGCCCCAGAACAAGACAGAATTCACCCTTAACTCCACCTTGTGCAGGGGAAAAACCTCTGTCCGATATGGAGTTTCAGGTACGTGCTCGCCGGACGGTCCGATGCCTTGTTCGCCCTGACAGCTACACCTCTGTGCTTATTAGGGCACATAACCTATTCGCACTGGTTATCATTCGCAACTTTTACGAGTTTTACTGTGGAAATTTCGACTAAGTTGACTTGTTTTTATCACTTTCGTATTTCTTTTCGAGCCGTTTGGGAGGATGTCAGGCCAATTTTTCTGTGGTGGCAACGACTACGATCTTGTCCTTCTGAGCCTTGACAACATAACCTCTGAACCTTAGATGATCTATTAGTTTTTAGTTTTGTTACTTGTCAAAGTCAGCCTCATATCTATGTTGAATTTTCACCTATATGTATTGTATATTCTTCCGTTAGCACTGTCAAAGTCGTTTCAATTGTCAAACACTTTTCTTCACAACTTGAATACACCCTGCTGCCAATTGGTTGGCAACCAACATATATCTAATTCATGTTTATTTTTCCTGCAGCCCCTTTCCAGGTCCGGTCCGCCCACACTGATGTCAAAATTCCCGACTTCTCGGACTACAGGAAGAGCTCAACACTAGACCCGTCAAAGAAGGCAGAAACTTCTGAAGCATCGCGCAAGACTTTTGCTTATGCCTTGGCTGCATGTGAGTACAGCTATTATGTAACAAGCAAGTGCTTTTACTTTTTTGCATTGCGTGCTAATTTATGGTAATTTTGTTGTTCTACCAATTCAGCTGGATTTGTTCTTGGCACCTACTCTGCTAAGAATGTTGTGAGCACGTTTGTCACTAGCATGGCTGCCTCTGCCGATGTTTTGGCTATGGCCTCCATCGAAGTTAACCTTGGTGATATCCCTGAGGGCAAGAGTGTTACATTCAAGTGGAGAGGCAAACCTCTGTTCATCCGACACAGGTAACCTTTCTGCATTCATCTAGTGTGAGACCTTTTCCCGCCTCTTCTGTACTTATCTCGAATTATCTGTTGCCTTTAGGAACGCTGCCGAAATCGCCAAAGAACGTGCTGTTGACCCTGCTTCTCTGCGTGATCCCCAACACGACTCTGAACGAGTCCAGCAGCCACAGTGGTTGATTGTAATTGGTGTGTGCACCCACTTAGGTTGTGTACCAATTGCTAATGCAGGTGGGTAATTAAATTCAAGATCTGCTTTTCTTCCTGTTTATTTTGTTTCTTTCTGAGCTGACCCTCTTTGTTTTTTGCCCAATGCTCTCAGGTGAATTTGGTGGGTACTACTGCCCATGCCACGGTTCTCACTACGATGCTGCAGGCCGCATCCGCAAGGGACCCGCTCCCCTCAACTTAGAGATCCCTCCCTATGAATTCAAGGAGAACAACATGCTTCTTGTAGGTTAAAATTATTTAGAAAATTGTAGTAAATTGCACACGAACATCAAATTATTCATATCTTGCTTTGTTGTTCTTTTGGTAAATACCTGAGCTGGTCTTGGCAAGTGTTGTCTGTCCCATTGCTAATTGCGGAATTCTGATATTAAAATTTTTGTTTCATTATCTGGTCATTAATTTAGCAACTTTTTCCACTCTGTATGGAGAGTGCATTTCTTTTCTTCCCGGGGTTGTACATTGATGTAAATTGTGTATGATTTGGCCGTCCATCATGGCCGTTGTTATGAGGTTTTCTGGATGAACAGCCGTCTTATGTGTACATTGTTTTGGGTCCTCTGCGGTCCCCAATAAAGGCGATAACATTTTAAATCGTGCATTTCATTTTGTCATCCCGACTGCTCCCGTCTGTCTGCAAGGGAAGGGGGACGGGCGGAGGGGCGCCCAGGGAGGGTGGTTTGTTTTGGAGAAGTGGAGGCCGAAGATCGGGTTTGGCGCTGCAGCGCTGCGTGCGATGTTGGTGTGGTGGTCGCACGGCCCGGCTGCGCTCGGTCTTGCGCCCGCTCGGCTCGGCCCGGTCGGCCCGGCTCGGCTCGGCCGCTCCGGTCGATTCCCGGGCAAAGGCAGGCGCAGGGCGCAGGCAGCGGAGCAGGCACAGGCCTAGCTGAGGGATGGGATGGCGATGGCGTCGCAGCGGTGCGGCCCGGGCGGAGCGGAGCGCGGAGCGAGCTCGGATGCACTTCCCTCCGCGGCGCCCGGACGCCCGGCCCGGACGGGGTGGGGCGGTCGGTGGGGCGGGGCGCGGGGCCCTCCTACCCCTGCCCCTGCCCCGGCCCTTCACCGAGGGTGAAAGTGAAGTGCTGGGGGCTGCCTGCGCGGGCGGGCGGGGCGGCCCAGCGCTGCAGGGGGCGTGTGGCGTGTTGCTGTGGTGGGGTGCAGCGCGGCGCGGCGAGCGGCGCGGACTCCACCTCGCTTCGCGGATGCGGATCGAAGCCTATAGGTGGGTGGGCGCGGGCGGAGCGCGGAGCGACGCGGTTACAGCCGGTTCCACGTAAGCTGCGCCTCCCCGCCCGGACCCCGGGCCGGTACACGGCCTGCTGCTGGCTGCAGCCCCGGCCTGCCGGGACTTCGGGCAGCTCCGAGGCCAGCCGAAGCTGGCCGGCCGGCAGGCCTCTAGGCCGGCAGGCACCCAAACCGCCACGCCACCTCGTCCTCGCCGTCCTCGGCGCGCCCGGACGGGGCGCGGGTGGCGCCAGGGGGTGGGGGCGGCGTGGTGGAAACTGGAGCAGTGGCCGGGGAGTTGTTTGTCCAGATGGGCCGCTGCGCCCTGCCTCCCTGGAGACCCTCCTGGAGGCCGTGCTGGAGGCCGTGCTGCGTGCTGCCCATGGGCTGTGCTGACCGCACGGTACGCCGCCCGCCCCGACGGGGTCCCCGACTAGCCCGCCTGCCCGGCCCGCTCGCACCAATTCATGGCTCTGAACGGCGATCGCTGCTCCTCGGGGACCTGCCTCCACTCCTCGACCTCACAGTGTAGCACACACGACAGCGTTTCACGTCCTTTACGCACGGACCCTCACAAAAAGCATTCCGTCCTCGCCGCACCCGCTGCACTGCAGGCTGATTCGAGTGGCAGAGAGAGAGAGAGAGAGCGCTGATCCGCCCTCTCTCCGCGATTGTCCTTCCCTCCCGTTCGCTCCGGCTGCGTCAGGCCGCACCAGATTCAGCCCTCCCCCTGCCGCTCTCTCTGTCTCTGTCTAATCCCCGCCCCGCGCCCCCACCAGGGGCGGCGTGCACCCGCACGGGCGGTGAGCGAGACAGAGCGACTCCGCTTTCGGACGCGAGCCTTAATAGTTGACAAGCAGGTAGAGAGCCCCGGGCCGTGGCGCGGCGCGGCGGCTCGGCTTGGCAGTGCTCCGTGGAGGCTGGAAGCCACACGGGTGGCACGCCACGCCACTGGCACGGCGAGGGGTGGTTTCTAATCCCCCTTCCTCCCCGCCTCCCCTCGCCCGGCCCGGCACGGCCGCTCTCTGACAGGAATGGAGACAGACGAATCGGACAGGAGCAAGCTCCAACCACAACGGGAGGGGAGGCGCTCTGCGGCGCTCTGGGAGAGAGAGCGGCGCTTGATCCTTGATTTGATTGCCAGGGTTGTGACGCCACCGCCGCGCCACGGCGCGCGCGGGGCGCGGGTTCGAATACTCCGAAATAATAGTGATGAAAAAAGACAGCGGCCTCTCTTGCCGATGAGGATGGGCAAAGCAAAGCGCGGTGTTTGCTTTGGCCGGTTCGTTTCCAATCGTGTCAACTCAGCCGCCGGCAGCGCTGACGTCCACCCACGTCGCCGACCAGCCGGCCAGGTAGTTCGGGGCGCCTCATCGATTCAGTGACGCGGATTCCGTCAAAATAACGCGCCGCTGCTTTGCGTTGCTCTGCGTTCACGTCGCTCCGTCTCTCTCGCACTCGTGGGGCGTCCCGTACAGGTGCGAGGGAGACAGAGCGACGACTCTCGGAATCAGTCTGCTGTTTCGCTGTTCCGGCAGCAGAGTCTCACGCCGAAGGGGGAAAACGTAGTGAAGAAATGAGGGAGCGCTTCGCTTTCCGGCCTTTGAACGTCGTGGTGTCCTTTCTCTGTCTGTCTCTCTCCCTCTTCACGGCGCGCTGGCCCCCGGCCCCTGCCGCCGCGCGGGTAGGCATCCCGCGCGCACGGCTGCGACCCGCAGTCCGCTGGCTGCCTACCCGCGCGGCGCTAATAGACACTCTGGCGGTCGCGGGTCGCGGTGAGGACGAAGTCTTGGCGAGTCGCTGGCCCTCTCTCTCTCTCTCTCTCTCTCTCTCTCTCTCTCTCTCTCTCTCTCTCTCTCTCTCTCCCTCGCACCCACGCCGCCGCCCGCTGTGCTCCGTCTCTCTCCTTCCCGGCGCGCTAAAAATTGCCGGGCTATTTCGGCGCCCGTGCACACTGCAAGCTCGATGGCTCTAGGTCCCGCGCGTCCCGCGACCCAACCCTCGCGTCCCGTCCCGTCGTCCCGTGGGACCGGTTCGGGTGGCCAGCGCGGCCAGCGTCCACTTCCGCCGCCAAGAAGAAGAAGAAGGAGGAGGAGAAGAAGAAGAAGAAGGAGGAGGAGGAGGAGGAGGGGGGGAGGAGGAGAAGAAGAAGAAGGTTGCTGCACGTTTGACGCGAGGGCTGAATGAGAGGCCATCGCTGCACAAAGCCGTCGGCATCGATTTGGTTGGGCAACCTGGAGGCCTGGAGGGCGAGCTGGAGGGCCAGGGCCTGTGCCAGGGCCTCGGCCAGGGCCGGCCACTCTCGCAATGGGCCACGCCACGAGAATGGGGAGGTGAACGCACGGCTCGGCGCTCGCCGTCGCTCTGTCTCCCTCGCACGCCGCGCCGCGCCCCTGGAGTGCGACGAGGACAGAGCGAAGGCCCGACCCTCCGGAGCGGCCCAACTTGTTACGCCCCGCTCGCCGCCACACTATTTCCACCGCTTTTTCCCTCGTTTTCCCTTTTGTTCGAGCGACACACTCTTTCTGCTGCCGGTCGGCCAGGCGGCCCGGCGTGCCGCCCGCCTTCCGCTGCGCGCGCTGCGGTTGATTGACAAGTTCCCTCGTCGAATTATGGAGGAAGCTTCCTTCCGCCCTCGCGTTGAAGGCGAAGCGGGGCGAAGCGGGGCCGAGCCACCGCCGCGGCAAGCCACTCATCGAACGATCCGACGACGTCACGCGTAAAAATAAAGAGCGAGAGAGAGAGTGAATATTGTTGTACACAGCGGCGAGTACGCGCGACGTCGACGAGCGGCAGCGCTCTGTCTCTCTCGCACCCCTTCGGGGCGCCCCGTGAGTGCGAGAGAGACGGTTGCCGAGCGGGCCTCGCTGGCCGGCGGCCAGTGCTGCAGCCCCCTCCCCCTCCCCCCGCCCCGCGCCGGAAGGGTTGCCTACCGGCCGCCCCGCCGGCGTACGGCACGGCGCTGGGCCCGCGCGGGGCGGGATGGATGGATTGGCGGCGGCCCTTCGAGGAGGAGGAGGAGAAGGGCGCGATTCAGGAGCCATCGTCACGGGTCGTCCCGGCCCATCCACAGGTCGAAGGGAGGGCAGCGGAGAGCGAGGGAGAGCGAGGAAGAAGAGGCCAGGTGCGGAATCTGGAGCGCGCGCTCCTGTTGGATCGGCGGGGAGGGGAGGGGAGGGGCGACCGCCCCCTGCGAAGCCTGCGAAGCCTGCGAAGCCACGCGCTGAAAGAGAGGTCAGCCCCTCCCTAAATCACAGTCCCTAATGAAGCCCTTTTCCGCCATCCCGCGCCCCCGCCCTGCGCCCTCCCCTGCAGGCCGACTCCGAGTCCGTCTCCGTCTCTCTCGCACTCACGGGGCGTCCCGTGTGGGTGCGAGAGAGACAGAGCGACTCTGGGCATCAGCCTGCTGCGCCTTCCTCATTACAGCGCGGCCCTCGGCCGGGCCCAGCCCCTGGCCCTTGGCGCGCCAGGAACCAGGAATCGCAGGTGCACGACCACCATCGAGCCCTCTCGCCGCACGACGGCACCCGTTCCTTTCCGGATCGCCTCGTCTTCTTCGCCACCATCATGTCCGCCATCAGCATCGGCGACGGTGACGCTGCCGGCGGTGGTGATGGCCGTGATGGCGGTTGTAACGGTAACGCGACACGGCCTCGCGGCCTCGCTGCCGCGCGCCGCCCACCCCCGCCGCCAGCCCTGCCCGAGGGGTCGTGTCGTGATGATGCACGGAAGAGTGACAGCAGGAGCGGCCCAAAGCGTGTGCTGGACGGAAGGGGAGCGGGGCGCGGCGGGGCGGGGCGGGGCGGGGGGCGGGGCGGGGCGGGGTGGGGCGGGGCCGGTGATGGAGCCCAGAGTGACGCTGAGGGCTGCGGGGGAGAGAGGGAGGCGTTGAGCCCGAGTCCTGTACAGTATTTTCACATCAGAGGTGAAGGTAGAAAATCGATGTTCTCGCTGACGAGGCTGGCGCGGGGCTGGAGTGGGGGCGCTGGAGGCTGGAGCCGCTGGAGCCATGAGGAGCGACAGAGACGGCGCGGCATGGCGGCAGGCGTAGGCTGGCCCCACCTGCGGGGCTGCTGCTTTCTCTCTCACTCGCACGCCGTGGCCTTGGCTCGGCTCGCGTCGCACCGCACGGCGCGTACGGCACCGCAGCATCGCCCAAACTGTGCGACACGTCAGCCATGAGGAGTGGCGCCGTCGCCTCGCTCCGTCTCCCTCGCACCCCTGCGGCGGCCCCGCGGGAGCGACAGAGACGGAGGCAGCGCGACGAAGGCGCTGTCCGGAGGCGGTCCACTGTGCACACGTTGTCGCGCATTTCGTAACGAGGGAGGCGTGGGTGCCGCGGGCACGGCCTTACAGTGGTCCTGCAGGTC